GATATCATGCCAGACATACAGTAGATATTAATGACGTTTACTGAATTGAATTATTGGTCATCATTTGATGTCAGTGGGGTTGCAGGTATCTCCCTAGACAAAGTGTTCTAGTCTGTTTCATGTTGCTATAACAGAACACCTGAGATTCAGCATATAAAGGAAACAGGTTTATTTAGCTCACAGTTACACAGGCTGGGAAATTCAACGGCATGGTCCTGCCTTCCACTGAGGGCTTTTATGCTGCATCACAACAAGGCAAAGAAGGTCAAAGCAGAAGTGGACATATGCAAAGAGACAAGGCCCTAGGAACATCCTGGTTTTGTAAGAATCTACCCTTTAGGGAACTTGTTTATTCCCATGAGAACTTTTCCAGTGTCCTCCGAGTGAGAATTCCCTCACTACCTGGAGAACTGCACCAAACTGTTCATGAGGGATCCACCCTCACGACCCAAACACCTCCTGCTAGGCCCCACGTTCCAACACCACCAAGGTGGGGAACAAATTTCAATTTGGGTTTTGGAGGAGGCAAACTGAAACCATATCACCAAGATATACACGGAGACTGCAAGTGATCCAACTCCACAAGATGAATGTCATGAAAGCTGTGGTTCTTTCCACCCATCTAGTCAACTCGCAGATGGCAGGCAACATATTCAGTCCTAGAATACTATTATTACAGATTCTGGCTCATGCAGAAGGGATCACACAAAAAAACTACAACTGTGAAACGAAGTCACCAAGGGGTTACATTTGGTTTAAGCAATTAACTGAATGGCAGAATAGCAAGGTTGTCATACAGAAATTGCCCAAAGAGCCATGATGAGAATTTATGGAAGTAAGGGTCTCTTTTTTATTGAGTATGCTTGTTTCAAAGTGGATTATGGGAACCTTACGCTGGCATCTAGTTTAACTGAGCAGCCCCGCATGGAACCATGTGTGATGAGCTAGGCAGAGGTAACAGTGTAGGCCAGGGTCCCCAAACTTTTTACACAGGGGACCAGTTCACTGTCCCTCAGACCGTTGGAGGGCCGGACTATGCAAGGTGTGACACCCTTCACAGCCAGCGCTGCTGCCTCCACGATCCCAGACAGCGGTATACAGTGTCACAGGCCCAGCACCGCCTCCAGTGCTGTATACAGGGACGGCGGTGATCAGCCTGTGACACTGTATATACAGCGTCCTGGACATCTGCAGCAGTGGTGGGCCTCTTCTGTGGAAAGCCCACTGCTGCATGTTTCCCCTATTATAAGACACCTCCTAAAATAAGACAGCCCCCGTCTTTTGGGGGTAAAATTAATATAAGACAGGGTCTTATAATAGGGGAAACACGGTGTGTAGTAATGTGGGGGAGACTTTTGGGCAAAGGGAGGTTATAGGAGCCATTATGTTGTTGTACATCTAGGGGAGTAAGGGGGCCATTGTACTGTGTAGTAATGGTTATAGTGCTTTGCCTTTCTTCCTACTTCTGCTGTTATTTCACACTGCTTCCGGTGACTGGGGCGCTGCAGCCGCAGACCGGATGTGCGTCATATGACGCGCTTCCAGAGCCATGACGTGTGCGTCCCGCGTCACCAGAAGTAGTACTGTACGTGAGTGACGCCGTGCTTTGTGGCGCTGCCACATACAGTACTCCAGGAGCACAGGATGCTGATGCATCACTGACCACCAATGAAAGAGGTGCCCCTTCCTGAAGTGCCGCGGGGGCCAGATAAATGGCCTCAGGGGGCCGCATGCGGCCCGTGGGCCATAGTTTGGGGACCCCTGGTGTAGTCTATCATGGAACCTTCTGTGATAGGTTGGGCAGAGGAAACAATGTGGTCTATCTGTTCACCTCTATAAAGCAACAGATTCTGAAAGGCAGCAATTAGGATCCAAGAAGAAGCATCAACAAAAAATAAAGAACACTTTTTCTAAGTTTCTTATTTATTCAATCCGTCCTTCATTCACTATTCACTGAGTATATACTATATGCCAAAAATTGCTCTGGACACTAGAGATAAAACACTGAAAAGTGAAGGCAAAACTCTTGAGATTCTTTATTTTAGTAGGAGCTGGGGAGAATGAATAAGCAAACAAATGAATCCAAGCTGATTCAGAGAGTGAAGTATTTTAAATACAATGAGATAAGGGGATTCAAAGAACTCACTGGGGCAGACTAGATTGGATGGTCAGATGAAACCTTTTGAGATGGTGATATTTCTGCAGACATCTATGTGATGTTAAGGAGTCTACTATGCAAAGATCTGGTGCAGTGGATTCCCAACAGGAAAAATAGCAAATACTACCAGATAGATTTCTTCAAGAAACCTAAAGAAGCAGGTCTACATGGCTAAAACACACATAGTTATGGTCTATGGGAGCATAGTATAAGGTAACTAGGCAGGGGCAATAGTATATAGAACCTTCTAGGCTGTGGTAAGAATTACAAATTGTATCTGAAGTGCAATGAAAAAATTCAAGAGTTTTTTTTTTTTTTTTTAAGGGTGTGACACAATCAGATTGTTTTTAAAAGATCGCTCAGCTCTTAGGAGGGTGTTGTTTGTGGTTATGGAGGATAGTTATGAGCAGACAGAACAGGCTTTTGTGGTCACCCAGGTGAGAGATGACAACAGCTTGGACTAAGGTTATAACAATAAAGAGGAAGCAGCCGGGCGCGATGGCTCACGCCTGTAATCCCAATACTCTGGGAGTCCGAGGCGTGTGGATCACAAGGCCAAGAGATCGAGACCATCCTAGTCAACATGGTGAAACCCCATCTCTACTAAAAACACAAAAAAAATTAGCTGGGCATGGCGGTGCGTGCCTGTAATCCCAGCTACTCAGGAGGCTGAGGCAGGAGAATTGCCTGAACCCAGGAGGCGGAGGTTGCGGTGAGCCAAGATCGTGCCATTGCACTCCAGCCTGGGTAACAAGAGCGAAACTCTGTCTCAAAAAAAAAAAAAAAAAAAAAAAAAAAAAAAACACCAAAAAAACCAAGAATCTCAACAATAGAGAGGAAGCAAAGTAGATGACTTGGTAATGTATTTTGGAGATGAAGAAAACATGACTAATTAATTGAATGTGGGGATGAAAGAAAGCAACAAAACAAGGATGACTTCTAAATTTTTGGACTGAACATGAGTAGAACAATTTGAGGAGGAACAGGTTTGTAGGGGGTGGATATCCAGAGTTCTGCTTTTGAGACGTGTGTTAACCATGATAATAATAGTATCTACCTTGCAGCGTTGTTGTGAACAACGAATAAGAAATATGAGAAGAATTTAGATCTGTACCTAACATGTAGTAATTGTTCAATAAACATCAGCTTCGACAATTATTCCTCAAGTGGAGATGTAAAGGTAGTTGAGGATATAAATGAGTTCTGTGAGAGGCCAGGACTAAAGATCTAAATCGGAAAGTTATATAGGGTTCAATGCTGCTCAAACCATTTTTGGTGAAGAACTTTTATCTTTATCCACTGCAGACCAATACTGGATGTGTTTGTCTCTCAAAAATTCATATGTTCACATTCTAACCCCCAAGGTGACGCTATAAAAAGGTGGAACCTTTGGAAGGCGGTTAGGTCATGAGGGTGGAGCCCTCATGAATGGGACTAGTGTCCTTATAAAAGTGACCCCAGAGAGATTCCTTGCTCACTTCCACCACGTGAAGACACAGCAATAAGTCCGTAGTCCATGAGCTGGGAATTGGGCCTTCACCAAATAAGGAATCTGCCTACATCTTGATCTTGGACTTCCCAGTCTCCAGAACCACGAGAAACCAGTTGCTTCTGTTTATAAGCCATCTAGTCTACAGTATTTTGTTATATTGGCCTGAAAAGACAAAGGCAAATACTTTTGTAAAATCCAACAAAAATGAAGACACTTTGAAGAGCACTAATACTCAAAGCCATACGAGGCCCTCGAGGAAGTCCTGAGCCACATTTAACTCAAGTACCAGTGAGTGTCTGAGGGTGGAGGCACAGGAGAGTTCAGGCTGAAATAACAAAATTCCTGCTTACTTGAACACAAGGGGAAATCACATATATTTACAAGTAATCCGTTTTAATTAGGTGTAAGAAAAAACGCCCATTCACTCCCGCAGGAACTCACGCCTCTTCCCCCAGATGTGGTATCTGAAGAGCAAGACCCTGCTTCTCCACTTCCTCCACACAAACACTTCAGGCTAATCATGGGAGATGCAATCTAGCGCTCAGGTTGCATGAAGTATCCCAAGCTCGTTTCCTACCAGGCTGGGCTCCACTTGGGCAGAGAACGATCATTAGACCTGATGAACACCCAGCTGTCCCCTAAGGATGCTCTAGGCCCCAAGCATCAGCACCTTCGTTAATAATTCACCACTCTTGCCTTGTCATCGGCTTCTCCCCACTCAGAACTCTGCTCCAGCGAGTGGTCCGGTGCCCGAGGCAGCTGGCATGGGTTAGGTCAGAGGGCACCTGCACTGATTCTTAGGAGAAAGGTCTTCTTTCTGCGTGAAGAAATCAATAAAGTAAAGCAGACGCTTCACAGTCCTTCGGGAAGCAAAACTTGCTTAACTTCACACTTTCCTGAACCCCCACGCGGGGACTGCTTCCTCCGGGACCCGCGGCAGGCCGGCTCCGGGGTCCTCGGTGCAGCCCCGGACAGCAGCGCGCGGGCTGCGGGCGAGTGGAGCCGCAGGGGCCGGGGCGGAGAGCCGATGCCACCCGGGGAAGCTCTCGGAGCTCCGGGGCTCCCGCCAAGCTCAGGACGGGCGTCGCCGAAGCAGCCAGCCCCGGCCGAGCCCCTCAGCACGGTGGGCGCCGCGCCCAGACGAGCGCGCGGGGCGGGGCGGGGCCGGGGTCCGCCCGGGGAGGGGGCGGGGCCGGGACGCTCGCGGCCGCGCGCCGGGGCTGAGAAGCGGCCCCTCCGGCCGCGCGGGGCGAGGGGCTGCGCCGGCCCGCGGGGCGCATGCGCGCTGCCGGGCGGCCCTGGCTCCCTCCCCGCCCACCCCTCCTTCCTCCCCCTCCCCCTCCCCTGCATCCTCGCCGCTCTCGCTCTCTCCTCGCCCGCCGGGTGCTGAAGTTGGGCGGATGGCAGCAGACCGGCTCCGCTAGAGGACCGAGCCGCCCGGCCCCGCTGCCCCGGACCCATCGGCGCGCTGCCCACCCCTCCAGGCGACCGGGTAAGACGCTGCCTCCAAACCGAGCGGTGCTGAGTAAATGACACCAAAATGTCTGCTTTGCACCGATGGGTGGATTTTTTTTTCAAGGTGGGGGGGAGGTGAAGGAAGGAGGGGGCGGAGAGCGCGACAGCCTTGCCCCGGCGGGGGCGGCTGCGGGGCGCGGGGGTCTCGGCGGCGGCCGCGGCGCCCTGGGCGGGAGCGGGGGCCGCGCGGCGGGTCCGGGAAGTTGAATCCCGCGTCGCTGCCTGGACGCGGTCCGCTCGCCGCCCTCGGCGGCTGCGGGGAGCCGGGCGAGTGCCCTGCCCGCCGAGGGACGGAGTTCCCGCGGAGAGCCAGGCGCCTGCGGGGGGCGGCCGGGAGGGTCGGGCTGGGGGCGCGGAGACCCCGCGGGGGCGCTAGGGGCTGCGGGTTCTGTGCGGTCGGCTGGGAGCGAGGGGAACGTGCCATCCACAGTGTCCAATCCACCGATCGCCCCGGCTGCTGTGTCTCCCCGGTCGTCTCTCTCTACCTTTGGGAAATGCACGGCGCAGGTGGGGAAGGTGTTCGCGGTGGAGGCTGCAAAAATGAAGCCTTTGAGCAGCGGCGAGATACCGGAGGGGCGTGTGTGTGTATGTGTGTGCGTGTGTGCGCGCGAGTGTGTGTGTGTGTGTGTGTGTGTGTGTAGGGGTATCTTTTGTTCCTTCCCCTCCCCTTAGTGAAAGGAAAGGGAGTCCTGGCGTGTGCGGCGAGGGGTGGATTCCAAGGCCACCGAGGGGGCGAGGAGGAGGAACGCCCACCAGACGCGAGCCGCTGCCTGGGTGGGCGCGTCGGAGCCACCCTTGCTGTAGGTGATGATGGTCTTTCCGAGATCGATGGAATCAGTTTCATCGCTGCCTCCCCGCCAGCCTCCCTGCTCTCCCTCTTCGAGTGCTGCGGCAGAGGCTGGGTGCAGACGCGGCCGCTTTCTCCTCTTCTCCCTGCCTCTCTGTCTCCCTGAAAAATGCTGGAGGACTCGAGGATGGCGGAGGGACGGAGCTGGCCTCCGAAGCCGCGGATGGGAGCTGCTACTCGCGAGCCGGAGGCTGCTGGCGGCGCGTCCGGGGCAGCCCGCGCCAGCCTCGGGAGTCCCTGGGCTCCGGGGAGAGCAAGCCTGTGTCGCCTGGGCACAAAGATGCCCGCGCGCCTGCCCTGCGTTCGGGACCCGCCCTGCGCCCCGCGCCCCGCGCCGAGCCCGGGACGCTGGCTCACCTGGGAGAACCCGTGTCCCCCGGGGACGACGGACCCTGGCTCCTGGCAGAACTCTCCTGACCTCCCCTGACCTTTCCATACATACTTCTTTCCTTAAAAGAGTCACTGTAAGATTTGTCTGGAGAACTTCACACGCTTCAGAGTTGTTTGCTTCTTTCTTTCTTTTCTTAAATTGTTTTACGGCGGGATTCTCTCCAGGGCGGGGTGGCTTTCCCAAATAATAAAGAGAAATCTTAGTTTGGTTCCCATGTAGAATAAGCAGTTCTGAGGCTGGGTGCCATCTGCATTTCCGGCGTTTATACCAACTGGTTTTCCGGGTGATGAACCCTTCTGAAAATCATTTAATTGAAGACGTGAGAATTGATTTTTATTCGTGTAGTGGAAAATAATGTTTTCCTCCTCGATTCCTAGCTGCTAGACGCTGTGTGTACGAAATAATGTGCAAACTGTGAAACATTTAAAGTATATTGCACTTATTTCTAAAGTCTTTTGTATTGAAAGTATTTTCCGAGAAATATACATTATAGCATTCCTATCTAACGAAAAGGTGATTTAATACAAATGAATGAGAGGTTTGCCCTCCTCCAGTTGTTAATATTGTTAAGCCATTAATTCTGTTAACGTGAACTAAAACAGTAATGAGCACACTCATGGGACACCGAATTTATTGACTTGTTTTTATAATCTTTTGAAACCTACACTTGGAGCGACCATGCGAAAGTAGTTTCTTTAGTTTTTGGCAACTAAAAAACAAGTGTTTGTTATTAGAAGAAGATTGGGTGGTATTCTTTATTAAGTAAGATAAATCTCCATGGCAATGACACCTGATCTCAGAGCCATGGGCACCCATCCTTCCTCCTGAAACTGTAGTCGGAAAGATTAGGAAACCATCTAATTTACAGAACAAACAACATAAGGTGCCTGTTATGCTGATTGATTTCGATCCTTTTTACTCTAGTTCCTCAACTACTCCTTGGTGTTTAGTCCCCATGGAAAGGAATTAACAAGGAGGGTTAATTTACTGACCTGTTCATTCTAAGGCAAACAGCAATTTCCTTCTCAAATAGGTATCTCTTTGGTTGTAGGGATCTTCCTCTGAGGTCCTAGTTTATTTGAACTCATCGTGTTTAAGGTCTAACTTCATTATCATTCCTATGAACTTTTTATACTTTTACATAATAATAATAATAATAATAATAAAACTTCCTTAACTTTTCCTACCATGAGGGCCAAGGTATTTGAAGAAAAGGAGAAACATATATTCTTACCCATTTTATCTTTTTGTAACAGCCAAGCAAAAGTGAAAATTTTAAATCTGAATTGATAAAAATTCTAGTTGACTTACAGAGTAAAGTCTAAGAAAGAATTTACTTGTTAATCTAAAGGTATAGAGATAATGGCCTTTGCGTTAGAAGACCATTTGCTGAAATACGGGCTTTCCTGGAAAAGGAAGGTAGGCATGGGTGATGGGGTACCATGCTAACAGGGCTGGGAATCCATTCAACCACATTTCTGCTGACAATCCTGTTTCTGATACTCTCCAACTCTGCTTACTTAACACTGAGAATACTGCACTACGGAGATGGGCAAATCGAAGGACCACTATATACCCAGAGGATGAGAATAATGCTATGTGATATTAAAAGCATTTTCTTTCACTGATTGCTATAGAGTATAAGTGTGAATGCATTGTGGAGGCTTAAAATTATATGACATTTCCGAGGGAGTGTCATGGATGCTCAGACAAATACATTTTTATAGAAAACCTTAGAAAAATCCTTTGCTATAGGTAAGTAGGTAGCCAAGACTTTCAATGTGAGACTGATGGATACTCCCACCTTCCTTCTCTCCCCATCCATGCTTATCTCTGAAAAAAATGACACTTTTTTAACTTACAAAGAAATTTGTTTAGACTATTATTTCTGCTATTATGCCAGCACCTATAGTATACTATACAGTATCTGGCAAGGGCAGGTATAAAATAATTTTTCCTAAATTAATAAATTTTTCATGGTCAACCTGGCTCACAAAAGTCTTCTAAGATAAGAATTGCATTTTTAAAACTAGGACTTATGCTGTTTACCACGTACACTAGTTGGGCTCCTAAAAATCACGTTTATAGTCCTACATCTTTGGAGGAAGTAATTTTCAGAATTGTCATTTTGAGAATATGTATGTGTTTAATACAACATTTACATTACTGATTTGTTTTCCAATTTTAAAAGCAATATTTGCTTATTTTAGATCCCTGTAACACAAAATTACCTGTGGGCCAATATGGATATGACGAGCACTAATTTTGGGTCAAGCTGGCCTTAGCTTGTGTTGTGGCTCCTCTCCTTAATAACTTAATTGCTGTAGGCAAGTTTCTAATCTCTCTGAGCCTCAGTTTTCTCAGATATACAAAAGGGATGAAATAAGAATGCAAACATAAATACAATGCAATATATATGAAGTACTGAACATAGTGCCTGGCATGTACTGAGTGCTTATAATTATCTCAATACCTAAAGAACTGCTGCTGAAAACACAGGATAGTTTGCCACAGGTTTATTTCCTTTATATAAATGTACCCTTGTCTTAAGAATTTGAATCATATTGGCTGGGCGCGGCGGCTCATGTCTGTAATTCCAGCACTTTGGGAGGCTGAGGCAGGTGGATCACCTGAGGTCAGGAGTTCGAGACCAGCCCGGCCAACATGGTGTAACCCTGTCTATACTAAAAATACAAAAATTAGCCAGGCATGGTGGCAAGTGTCTATAGTCCCAGCTACTTGGGAGGCTGAGGCAGGAGAGTCACTTAAACCTGGGAGATGGATGTTGCAGTGAGCTGAGATCATACCTCTGCACTACAGCCTGGGTGACAGAGCAAGACTCTGTTTCAAAAGAAAAAAAAAAAAAAAAAAGAATTGGAATCATATTATAGAGCAGGAGTCCCCAACCCCTGGGCTATATAGATGGGTAAGAGCCCATGACCTGTTAGAAACTGGGCAGCACATCAGGAGGTGAGTGGCTGGTAAGTGAGCATTACCTCCTGAGCTCCTCCTGTCAGATCAGTGGCTGGCATTAGACTCTCATAGGAACGTGACCCCTATTGTGAACTGTGCACACAAGGAATCGAGGTTGTGCACTCCTTATGCGAATCTAATGCCTGATTGAGCTGACGTGGAACAGTTTCATTCCAAACTATTCCTCCACCCCTACTGCCATCCGTGGAAAAATTGTCTTCCACGAAACTGGTCCCTGGTGCCAAAAAGGTTAGGATGGCTGTTTTAGAACTTCATACTTCTAAAAAATATTAACATTCCTTTGTTGCGGTTTCTCAGGAAACTAAAATTGATATTTTTAATGTGATTTAGTGACTGCAAAATAATTCGCCTTATGGATGTCTTTATTTAGCCATTCTTTTATCTTTGGATTTTGATTCTTATGCCTAAATTGTGTGTGTGTATCTCTATTGCAGTTTCTCCTTTGGGGTCAATGCTTAGAACAGCCAGTTCATGCCAACATAATGCCATTCTTTAAAAAATCTTTGCTAACTTTGCTAATAGGTGAAAATAACATTTTTCAAACTTTTATTTCTTTGGCTACCAATAAGACTGATTACTTTTTGACATGCTTATAAGCACTTTTTGTCTTTGAGGATGGCTTGTTCAAGTCTTTAGCCTCTGTTTTCCCCTGCTGTTCTGGTACATTTTTCTTATTTGTTTGAGTGCTAATATTAATTTTTTAAAAGGGAAAAGCAAACAAGGAAAGAAAATGCTTAGTGACAAA